AAGGATGTAAGAAAAGTTCCCTTCAATACCATACCATACACTAGAATGCTGTCTGGTGCTTATATAGCTAGCTATCTTAGTGGAGTATCCTTAGAACATATTCGTGAAAGCGATTCCATCCCAAAGATAATAACCTCTATTATGAGATACCATCTTTACTACACAATTAGAAAGTTAACGGTTAGTAAAGATGCTATTGATAAGCTTAATGTTAACCTCGACATTGTGAGGAACCATATTCCTATAAAGCAGGAATATATTATTGATGGAAGTGGTTGTACAACTAGTGCGGGACCTCTATCTGATAACGACTTCCTTTCGTTCATAGCGGAAAAAAGTGATGGCTTTACTAAGTTAGGCGTTGAGCTCATCCAGGAAAGTATTGAGTCATATGTGTATGCTATATTAGGATCCCAAGCTAACACAAGGTGGTCAATAGAAGGAAACGGTACAAAGGCTCTTCAAACGCAACGTAACTTTAGATCTGTTGTAAATGCTACTATTTTACAAAGTGATACAGTAACAGCAATTAGTAATATGAGGAAAGCTGTGAGGGATACAAATGTGATTCTAAACACTGCTCTATCTCCTGGAATAGTTCTAATTCCATCAAACTTTATCATTCTGCTAACCCCAATACCTGGCTATAATAACATTCTAACCACGGCAACTAATACAATGGAATTCGGTGTGAATACCAAACTAAACTATGTTGGGGAAAAGAAAACCGACCATTCAAAGAAACAGCACCAAGACACTACACCGGTTCACCACCTTGATGTTATTGATGGACATAAAAAGGTTCCAGGAGGCTCTACAGTCACTAAGCCAAAGGAAGGTTCTACAACTCCTGATACTCAAGATGTTCCCATCGTAAAGCATGATGTGGTTGGTACCCATGAGTCTTCAGGAGTTAGCGCTATCACTGGAGCTGGAATTGGTGCTATAGTTGTATTTATTCTAATGAAAGTTGTCCTGTAAACATTATGTATGTTATAAAATGGCTCTCTATAGGGGATACAACAAAGGAGTAAATAAAGTTGATCCATCAATCGGTAGTGTGTTTGATAAGGATGGATTTACCATGAAGGGTGACATTGAGATGGATGGTAATGAGGTGAAAGGTCTGGGTGCACCTACAGATGATACTTCTGCGACCACAAGAAAGTGGGTGGATGATGAGATCATTAAACAGGCCGCTCTTACAATTCAACCTGCAGGGTTTACAATGACTGGGGATATTGACATGGGAGGTAATAAAATAACTAATCTTGATAATCCTACTAACCCAGGTGATGCTGCTAGTAAGAGCTGGGTTGAGGGTAGTTGTGCTAGTTTACCTGGGCTTGTTCTTACTAGTGATCTCAATATGTCAACAAATGAGATAAAGGCTCTAGGTGATCCAACAACTGGAAATTCTGCTGTTAGTAAGGATTGGACCCTATTACAAATAAGAAACCTGGACTCTTATGTAGCCGGTCTCTACGTCTGGATTGACGGTACGCGTATAATAACTGATAACCTTAAATTAGGTGGAAATCAAATTGAAAATGTTGGTGATCCAACAACTGGAAAGTCCGCAGTTAATAGGGACTGGGTAGTTAAAATGCTAAATAAACCTATAACTGGACTTAATATTGCTGGTGATATTGATATGAAGGACCATGAGATTAAGAATCTTAAGGATCTCTCTGAGGATCAGTCTGCTGTTACAAAAAAGTGGGTGGTTGATAATAACTTTGTTAAAAAAGGTGGAATAATGCAAGGAGATGTGTCCATGGGAGGCTGGAGATTGTTTGATCTTATTGACCCTAAACTTGATAGCGAGGCTGTATCTAAAGGTTGGGTTGAAAGTAAGATGTTAACGGTCCCTAGCACCTCTGGTTTCACAATGACAGGTGATCTTCAAATGGGTGGACATGAGATTAAAAATGTTGGTAACCCTAGTTCAGGTGCATCCGCTGTTAACAAGAGATGGGTCACATTAGGATTTACATTAAACGGTGATCTAACTGTTACAAATGGTAATTCAATTTACACAATCAATAACCTTGGCGCAAAAATAGCTATTCCTAATATTCAAACTGTGGTTAATCAAATCTCACGCTTTGCCTTGAAATTGGACGGTTCAAATGAAATGACTGGTGTTCTCAAGATGGGTGGAAATGAAATTGAGAACATTGGAGCCCCTAGTTCTGATACATCCGCCGTCAGTAGAAAGTGGGTGGAAGATAAGATTAGCGGTGGTAGGAAAAAGCGTGAGACCTACAGCGGACTTACATTATCTGACGACCTTGATATGGGAAGCAATGAAATTATAAAGTTAGGTGCTCCTACAACTGATAATTCTGCTTTGTCTAAGAAATGGGTCGCGGATCATGTCAGTGGGAGTTCTGTAAGTAGTAGCGGCTTTACTATGAGTGGTAATATTGACATGGCTGGTAATACTATTACAGGACTAAATAGCGGCTCGTCTGGTGATTCTAGTGCTGTTTCTTATGGTTCTATGACTTCATGGTGCTCACAGTTTCTTAAACGTGATGGTGGCGCTTTAGCTAGTAACTTAGATGTTAACGATTACGAGTTAACAAGAGTTGGTGACCCTACAACTGACGGTTCAGCTGTTCATAAGAAATGGGCAACAGATGAGTTCATGAGTAGTAGAGGTGGACTGGTAAAAGGTGATTTGGATATGGGAGATTCAAGTGGAATTCTTGATCTAAAGGATCCTGTAAATGACAAGGACGCTGTTAACAAACAGTGGGTAGAAAAGAATTTCTTAAAACCTTCAACTGGCCTTACTCAAGCAACGGCTGACTTAAGATATGTAAGAATACGGCGACATATACATGCAGAATGGATTTGGGGTTATCGTGGTGTTTCAGTTGCAGCAACAAGGTACTACGCTTACTGTGACGATCAGATTCCACCTTCATGGAGAACAGATCCTATTAATAATATGGCAGACCTGAACCTTGAATCAATAACTATAAAAACAGACTACCCACATTTTTCAACTGTTCTAAATATACCCCTAGCTTTGATCCTGTGGGCTACTGTATGGGAAAAACAATCTAACGGAAAATTTACACAGGTTGAAAAGGAAATCACTCTTGCCACGGTTGACTTAAGAAGACTGTCACACACCTGGTTTAATGGAACTTACACAACTACCGGTGGAAGTACAGCTTGCTACGTTTTCAAGGGTAATAGTATGTTCTATTTAGGAGCCCAGGCTGAGCTGGTAGATAATACGCTGGCCTGGTGTATTATAGTTAAACCTGAACACTCAATGCCAACAGGTTCCAGTATGGACATGTCCTTTTGCTGGTCACTCCGATATTCAGGGTCAGGTAGTTAACATGTGGTTTATCATAAGATAAGATGTCAAGGTGGAGGTCATGCTTCTCCTGCTTAGGTAAGATTTGTGGTTGTCGTAAGAGTTCTAGTAGAAATGGAAAGGCTGGTGATATAAATTTCTCTGTATCAAATAATATTAACATTGGAGTGAGCACACAAGATAAAAAAGATACTTCAAACTCTGTATTCGAACCAAAAAGTTACGGCCCCTTAAGTATCCTTAGGAGTGAAATAGAAGATGTTAAATAGGATTTTGAATTTAGAAGTTGAAAAAGATCGGTGAAGATCCGAGAGTCCCAGCGACTGGATAATAGAAATAGTAAATCTTCGTGAATAGACCATGGTTAGTAGAAAGTGGTCTAGAAAATAAATCAAGATTTTTGATGAAGACCAAGATGATTGGCTTGCATTAGAAAAAGTGATGTATGAGCCAATGTCAAAAAGTGGTCTAGAACCCTCAATCCCTATACTACTCATATAGATAGAGCGTAATATAGTTTTTCGTTTTACCTCAAAAACCACAACAGTCTGTTTCATCCGTATAGGAATCATCAGGTGGTCTGATGATTCCTATACGGATGAAACAGATTAAAACAGATTATATATATATATATATATTACGGATGAAACAGATTGAAACAGATTATATATATATATATATATATATATATATATATATATATATATATATATATATATATATATATATATATATATATATATATATATATATATAATTCAATAAAGGCTGTATTTGCAACAGAGATGAATTTAATTGGAGGAAGGGGGGTGCACCTCCTCCCTAGTCCTGGCCCAAAGTGGGAGCTATATTTCATGGGAGAAAAAAATATTAGCGAACTGTGAACAATTACAATTCAGATACAAGACTAGCGATGGGCGGGCGGTGCACATCACCAATGCAACTCAGAACCAGAGCTGGCAGAACACCACACCAGATCATGCTGGATCAACCTTAAACTCTAAAACTTTAAACTTTAAGCATGCTAAGCATAATGGGAACATCATTTAATCAGTTTAGAAATCATATATGGGACTCCCTATTCACTCACAAGTAGATGCAATATTCAGCTAATAAACTTGAAACTTGCGATCCAACTAAGCTTTGCACGCTTAGAGTTTAATGTTTGCAAAGACAACCTTTTGAATTATGTATATATATCTATATTCTAAACACAACAAAATTTAATTATAAAAATTGTTTATAAGATAAACATAAATACTGCATATATTTAAGTAACAATGACACCAAGTATGGTAACAGTTTTCAAAAAACTGTGAATAGACAAATTTGTTAATTTCAATTGTTTCCCACGTTTCAACTACCGCTAATAGTAACTATACGTAGTAAATTGTTTACTTTAACCTTAATAATAAAGGCAGATTAAAGGGTCCAATAAGAGAACAAAAAGAGAGCCTTTCAACCAAACGAGATGCTGTGGGCGTTGAAAACAATCAACAGTCGAATGTTTGTGGGAGTTGAAAACAATGAACCAAAAAAACATGTTCACAGGCACCCTAACAAGTGTGGTAATCCAACTGGAACAATATCAAAGTACACTAATATACAATCAACTCAATCACTCGAGTTTCTCCCAATAAACGTACATTCTTGTGTTCAACTAAGGTATACCAAAACCCTTAGCATTTCTAACAGCAAACTGAAAATCAGATTTGAAGTCAACATACTGAGTGTGAACAACAGGAAGACGGAGAATGCAGGAGCAAGTGTTTGCTTTAGGAAACTTTGAGAGAAGACCATTTTGTTCTGGTTCATGCAAGAATTCTAACTGCAGCAAAATGCTTCGACAAGGAACAACCCTCAACCCTGATGCAAAAAATAGAATGTCAGAAAAACTGAGTTCACATTCCTTTTCCTCAACATCCAACAGGAAATCTCTCCAAAACGCGAGAAGTCTGTTCTCTACCTCCCATCTGTTGGAGAGTTGTTCACTTCTATTCACAACAAAAAGTTGCTCAAATGAATCAGAACTTAACACTTGTGGGTAGAAACAAAACACTCTTTGGACCAAATCGGAATTCTTAATAACAGCATCAAGCAAACCTAAGCATGTTATTCCACTTTTAAAGCTCTCATAGGCTGCCCTAGTCCTATCAAGGACATACCAGTGAGCAATCTCACAAACCACATCTTTAACATCGCTTATGCTTCGCAGAGGGTGCCAGAACGCTCTTGAATTTCCTCTAATTTCTTATCTGCTATCAACCTATTGGCTTCATTGACCGATTCAACAGACATTAAATTTTTAAGAGACGACTGCAGCTCCAGATCATACACAGCATCAATAGGAACATGAACTTTCGCATGGCCTTTAATAAGAGAATCAAATATTTAACACAGGGCTAAAACAACTAGGAGCTACTCCAGCGTGAACTAGAGCCATTGAAATCAACTGACCAGCCATGACGCACTCGTCATGTTTCAGAGCCTTAGCATCATAAGACAACAACCTTGAATGCTCTTGCCCACAAAAAAGTTTGCTTGATAATATTGCTTCAAGGGATAAAGTAAAAAATTCCCTCATTGGCCCACCCATATCCACTGCACCTTCAGAGAGACCGACATCATCAGTAAATTTGACTGATAACTTTTTGTTTGGAGAAAATGACTTCCTAGTCATTCCTCTAAAAATACCATCGCAAATATTACTGCGGCATATGTTGAATTTGGAAATTTTTTCATTATCGATGTTGGCAGATGCAAGCTGTTGTAAAATATCACTAATATCCATAACAACTTCATCATCGTTTGGAGAATTTTCATCAACTTTTTCTTCAATTAGTTCAGTATCTTCGTCTGATAGATATTCAGCATTAATCTCATGGAACAGAAGAGAGGCATACAGTAAATCATCACTTTCTTCTGTGTCCTGCATCTTGGTAGACTCTGGGTCGCCAGTCTCGCCACCAACCTATATGAACAAACTTAGTAATTGGTTGTTCATGAAGACAATGAAGTATGGAAATTATCCTTCTAAGGAAGCACTGTAACTATTGTTTTGTGAAGCCATTCGCACGAATTTATCATCCCCGAGCCAACAGCGCCGTTCGGGCGTTGTTGGGCCCGGGCAAAGTTACTAATTCCGTTCGGCTATTTACACTCGCATATTTGAGAATATAGCGAAGTGCTAAGTGGTGCAAAGTTGTCGTCCATTATGTAATAGATGGTCTGAAAAATTTTGTTAAAAATTTCAGTTTCTCCTCCAACCCCCCCGCCCCCCCTCCCCCCACTGTATTTAATGACTATCCCCTTACAATGGTCTTTTTCCTGCAACAAATGTGGCTTGACCAAAATATAACTAACAAAAAGCTTGTGCGTATTTCAAAAGCAAATATATTTTACCCTATTTCCGTGCAAACTATTGTCAGCAAAACGAGTTTTTTAAGTTTCCCCTGCAGCTATACTGGAACTGTGTAATTTCCTATACTTATTGTTTAATATTTTCCCATATTATTTTCATGTTAGCATTGCAACTACTATTGTTTTTAATCATCAAATACTTCATGTGGGAACTTTTCGGATTTGAACTCAGCGTGTTCGAAAGTGTTAGTTCCGTAAAAATATTTCAGATCTTTTTTTGAGGTCACAACACACAGACTATTGCTGCATGCATGTACAGTATGTATTTCTAGTTTTAGTTTGGTATTTACCCTTGTCACTGGATTGTCTGTTTCACTCGGATTATTCAGGAAGGTAGCCTCAGGTAGTATTTCCTCTTCATCAGCATCACGAGCATCATCAACTTCAATAACACTTACATTCTGATCCCTATTATTTCATATTAATTTATTACATGATTAAACATTGAAACTCAAATGAGGAAATAACTGGTTAATAAAAACTCATTTAATTTATGGTGTTGCAGATACTGTAGAGACAGGAGGCCAGGCTTTTAGCCAGAAAGGCTGGGACGCCCTTGAATGAAAAATGGCACCTTTGGATGCCCAAATTCTGGGGGGAAAGGGAAATAATTTTCAATTGTTTTCCTAAGTATATTAATATATCTGAAATGAAACAGTTCCAATTCTCATTATTATTATACATTTGACATTTTGATCAATTTGATGGTGTACCTAGGGATGCACCGGAACCGGTTTTTTAAGTTCCGGCCGGAACCGGAACTAATTTATTAAGCCATATATAGTCATATGTTACTTTGTCCGCTGCCAGACAAGCAGACACTTCAAATCATCAAGTAGAGAGTTCGCAAATGTCAGAATAAAAAGAGTTCGCAAATGTCAGAATGAATTAAACTGACTGTAATTTTGTTGCAAAAAGAAATTTTGGCCTTTTCAAGGAAATGTGATTGTTGCCTTGGAAATAAACATTACAACGGAATAGCAAGGACATTTTGTTGTCAAGAAGGAAATAAGAAGGAAGTTGTCTTATTTCTAATAAATCCTAAGAATACAGCAATTTCCAAGAAAATCCACATCAGAAATTGCAAAAAATACTGTCCTGCAGGAATGGAAAATCTGAAAATTTGAGTGCCCTCAAATCCTATTAATTTTACTTTTTACAGTTGATTTCACATAACTTTTCTCTGAATGTTGCGAACTTTGTTCTGAACTCCGTTATGAAGTTCAAAAGTTCATACAGAAATCCACAAGCCGGCTTGTAAACAAAGCCTCTGATTGGCTTATTTTTGTACAGGGATCAATCAGAGGTTTTGTTTACAAACCGGCTTGTGAATTTTAGTGTGAACTTTTGAACTTCACAACAAAGTTCCAAATGAAGTTCGCAACATTCAGGGAATGGTTATATGAAATCAACTGTAATAGTAAATTTAGGTAAACTCCCATTTTGATGAGTGGCATAAGAAGCAATTTGATATTGGTGGGGAGGTTGGAGGAGGAGACATATTTCTAAATAATGCATGAGTCAATTCCATGAGTAAGCATCCTCCTCCCTGGGACATTGCCAGGCATTTGCTAGGCACACCATTCCTGGGGCTGTGAATTTGCACACAGGTTAGGGACCGGGCCCATTGTTTGGCGGCTAAAAGACCCCAAACATTTGACACTAGCGAAAAAACTCAATTATCAAAAATCTTCTGGTATTAAACTTTAGTTCAGTAACAGTGTATTGTTACTTTTTGCCATCTAATGATTGTCCGGGGGGGGGGGGCATACTGTACATTTCCCTCCTGGTGTCTCCCAGCGGCCAGGGATTTGCCTTTTTCCTCCCAAAAAATTGCTAACGTCCAGGTACAGTATATTACAGGGGGGGGCATGGTTACTCATGGAATTGACTATGGATAAGAGCTGTTTATCCTTTAATCTGTAGTGTAAGCTTACCTGGTATTTCTCGAGGTAGTTGCCGTTGTTGCCGTATTATTTGCAGGACATAAGTAAAGATGTTCCCTCAACTTATTCATGGGGAATATATTCATACAATGATTACAGATTTCTTCTATGATTTCTCCTTGATCTTTGGCTTTAACCATAGCTTTTTAGTCAAGATCGCACTGTATTGGGCGAATATATACTCGTCCTTGTCCGACAAACTGTTTGAGAAACTCAATGGTATACCCATTTTCTCCCTCATCTATAACGGAAAGCTGACGAGAACTGGCTTTTGCGTACATAAATTCATATCCACCACCATCGGTCAACTTTGGGTATGTTTCCTTTAGTGCAGCCACAACATCAGACGAAGTTGAGTCTGCTTGTAGGGTTACCTTCTTTTCGCCAAGTCCAGCTACGAGCAACTGTTGCTTTTCATCATTATTCGGAACATCTAGCTGGGTGGTGCTCGCAAGACAGAAAAACTTTATTGATATTTCTTTCACTGATTTTCTTCTTTTCGGTGCTTTTGCATGATGATTTGTAGATGCTCTTCGTTGGGGTATATTGCCATTCAGTGGAATGGGACGAGAGGTGGACGCATTTGCTTGATTATACGGTGCAAACAGCCGCCGAAATTCATCCCTCGCTCTCGCCGGCCTGTTGTTTGTCTCCGGCTGATTGGTGATTGCTGAAGATTCTGTACTTCTACTTGTTGAAGGCTGTGAGCTTTGATTTATAAGGCTAGATGCCGCTTGTGACAATAGACGTGCAGCTTCGGCCAGGGCTGGTTCTTTGGCCATTTAAATAAACGTTTTTTGAATAAAAATTAGTATAATAAAATTCATGCGAAGCTGTGAATACTGAACACATGTCAACATATATTTATGCTGAAAAGTGAATTTTCAATGACTTCCGGTCCACATGACCGCGCTAGTCACAGACCTCTGGCTAATGAAAAATTGGTGCTGAATAATAAAAATAAGCTGAATAATAAAAATAAGCTGAATATAATGAAAATAAGCTGAATAATAAAAATGAGCTGAATAATAATAAGCTAAATATCATGAAAATAAGCTGAATATTAAAAATAAGCTAAATATCATGAAAATAAGCTGAATAATAAAAATAAGCTGAATAATAAAAATAAGCTGAATAATAAAAATAAGGTGAATAATAAAAATAAGCTGAATAATAAAAATGAGCTGAATATTAAAAATAAGCTGAATAATAAAAATAAGCTGAATAATAAAAATGAGCTGAATATTAAAAATAAGCTGAATAATAAAAATAAGCTGAATAATAATAAAAATATGTTGAATAATAATAAAAATATGCTGAATAATAATAAAAATATGCTGAATAATACAAAATCAGCTGAATAATAATAAAAATAAGCTGAATAATAACAAAAATAAGCTGAATAATAATAAAAATAAGCTGAATAATAATAAAAATAAGCTGAATAATAATGCGAAAAATAATATGGTATTTATATAATTTTGGCGGATATGGCACCCCATAAAAATGAAGTTTTTGATTTATTGAAAAGTGTCGATGTATCGAAGGCTTGCAGAGTAGATGGTATAGGAAATTCCCTGTTGAAGATATGTGCTATTGGCATTGCTTCATCTCTGTCGAGATTTTTTAACATCTCTTTGGTAAATGGCTGTTTTCCAACAGTATGGAAACTAGCAAATGTTGTTCCCATTTTTAAAAAAAATAATCGTCAATTGAAAAGTAATTATCGTCCTGTGTCTTTACTAACATCGTTGTCCAAAATTCTTGAGAAAATAGTATTTAAACGTCTTTATAATTTTTTATTAGAAATAAAATTTTTCACTCCCTTGCAGTCAGGGTTTCGTCCCGGGGATTCCACTGTGAATCAACTCATACTTATGGTACATACAATTTATGAGGCTTTAGAGCGTGGAAAGGAAGTGCATATGGTTTTCTTGGATATAAGTAAAGCTTTTGACAAAGTGTGGCATAAAGGTCTCCTTTTTAAGTTGAAACGTTTAGGTATTAGAGATCCATTACTATCTTGGATTAAAAGCTAATAGACAAACAGAAAACAACGAGTAGTTATTGATGGAAACGTGTCTGATTGGAAAGACGTTGAAGCAGGAGTGCCACAGGGATCAGTACTTGGGCCACTGCTATTTCTAGTTTATAGAAATGATATTACTGATAATATTCAAAGTACTTGCTTTCTTTATGCGGACGATACTTCTTTGTTAGAAATTGTCGAAGATCCTCAATTAAGTTCAGCCAAACTTAATAGTGACTTAACAAATATTAGTAAATGGACACGTGATTGGCTCATCACTATTAATCCTAGTAAAACTGAAGCAGTGATCTTCTCCACTAAGAGATACAAACCAGTACATCCAGCTTTATATTATGAAAATAATGAAATAAATATTGTCAATAGTCATAATCATCTTGGAGTCACTCTTTCTTCTAACATGTCCTGGAGAACACATGTCTTAAATATTCATGATAAAGCTTCAAAGCGATTAAATTTATTGAAAGGTTTGAAATTTAAAATTAATAGAAATACTTTGGAA